GGGGCGATGAACTTTTTTATGATTTGATTTTGAAAATTCGAACATTATTATATGTTTTTAAGTCCGTCTTTTAGATCCGTAATTGTTCTTGTTGCAATTTCGACATTGGAATTCTAATTAGCCTGCTCCAAAGCCATTGAATACAAGTTTCATTACATTTGGTTCACGTTTTCATATTTCGGCCAGCTTTTTGAGATCTTGCCTCAATGTGCATTTGTATCTTTGCCTAGGGCGCGGGGCCTCCCTGACATCCAAGTAGTGTAAAAAACATTATTCAAAAAATAATTTTAATTTAAATTTCAGCTGCTTTTTTTAAAAAAAAATGTTCATTTTTTTGCCTTTTAGGCGCACAAATGGAAGATTTTGTAACCTCAAAATCTGAAGTATAGTGATAACACATTAAAGTACAATCCTATCTCAAATTAATACTATTTCATATACACTCAAATTAATACTCTCCTACACTCAAATTAATACTATTTCATATATTCGAATGTTAATGGATTATTTTCTTGCAAAAGAGTTCCCGGTTACGTGGAACACGGTTAAGCGCTCATTCTTTTCCGCGTTTTTCTTTGACATCGGACCAAATTTATTTTCATTAGTGTGACAATACCAATATGTTATTTCTAACATGTGATCTACGTGATCTATATTTTAACTGCAGTCCATTTTATGAAATACAGATATTCACTTTATTTTCAATTTTTTTGCAAGTACGGACAACACGTAAGGTCTTATAACAGGTGCTTAAAAAGTGGCCCAAACCCGTTTGCATTTTTACTCGTACATACGGCTAGAGAGGTTTTGTGAATCTCAGATATTCATTAAGGTTACAAATGACATTTTAATTTGGCCAAACATGTCACAACTATTGGTATTCTTTGTAACCACTGTGATAGTCTACTGTAGATGCGTCTACGTTTGGAAAGCGTTCTCTCTCGTATTGCGGGAAACTTCAGTTTAAAACTAGGTCGAAAGTGTATGTTGTAGAATTAAAATTTTAATTTAAGTTTAACTACTTCCTCTTTACAAAATTAAGGATTGAGTTTCAGATTTTAACTTTATACTTAAAGCAATAGTTGTAAACAAAATTATCAAGTGTTATAGGGTCTTAGAAAATTTTAAAGAATTTACAAAAAGAAAACATTACTTTCCATATAACACAATGGCACTTATGTAATATGTGATTCGCTTTTCTCCGATAAATTTCAGTCAACGAATTCGAAAATAAATGACAAGCAGAGCATCCCTTGATCGATTTTTCTCGTACAATAGATGCACAGTTCTAAATTAATTTTTGATCCATTTTATTTGCAGGACATTATGTACTACGGATAGTTTAGACCAGACATGTGTAGGTCGCGGGCAAGTCTTCTAGTTTACTGGAATTCATAGGCATTGCGTCCGGAAAAATTGGGGTGAGATTTAAAAGTGAGGGCTGTTTAATTTTTTAAGAGTGGCTTACGCATGTTGAGGATACTAAGTTTCTTTCTCGAGAAGTATAGAATACGTTGTATTTATTTGGACTTCTCCAGTTTTCCCTCAATTTGTAGATATTTCTAAAAACTTGGAGGTAATTAGTGTAATTAGGTTATCAGCAAAAAGGATTAAGATACTTTTTACTAATACAACATGCAGAAGACATAGGTGAACAGTTACTACTAATAAAGCAAGTCACCCTGCAAGGATGCGTCCTTGTAAGCCCGTTTAAATCCGTAGTGCGTCAGCGAATGTTAGCTGGCCTGAAATAAAGTCGAAAGTCAGTTCCATTTTGTGAACATTCTCCATGCTTTCCACGCCCTCATATACTGATCGAATGCGAAAAATGTACAGGAAGTAATAAATTGACGTGAACTTGGGTTTACCGCTTCTTTCAGCTTATCACAGCACTTTGCAGTAGAATGGCCTAATGCTTTTATGCATGCCTGTCAAGGTTGCAGGCAAGGTAACTTACTTTTTAGAGTTCGCTGGCACTGTTTTCAGATCAACTGGCGCGAGATTTAAGAATAAGGCTTATACAAATCTATCCAGATGGGTGGTACATCGCTTGATACCGCCTATGACAGTCTTTTGGAGAAGTCAGTTGAGAGTTACTGTCAAAATTAAGCTTTATTAATTCATATTGTATTAAAACAAAGAAATAATTTATTAAACGTAATTATTCATCAATCAGATGTTTAATTTTCAATTGAGAGAAAAACTAAACATTTTGCAACGAAAGTACAGTACATTTTAATCATTGTGTTTACTGAAGAGGGCACTTATAGCATTTATTTGCTACGCTCAGGTTCGAAGTTTTGCCAGAAAAATATTCTTGCCTGCTACAGGAGCTGTCAGTCCGTAAGCTAGAATTGTTAACTTATGGAGAATTGTTAATGTATTTAATGGTTTTCCTATGTACAACAAATAACTGAATGATGTAATAAAACTTAAGTTAAAACAAAAACAAGGAAAGATTTCGACATTCAAACTGAGCAAAAATGTTTAAACAAGGCAGAATTTAAAAAGTAAACAAATACGAGGTAGTAATAAATAGTAAAAAATACAAACATAATTCAAATCTCGCCTGTTTAATAGAACAAATGTGGCGAACATAAGTCAAAACAAAAGCAAGGAAATAATGTGACATTCAGTCTGGGCAAAAGTGTTTATACAAGGCAGAATTTAAAAAGAAAACAAATATGAGATAGTAATAAATAAAAACATAATTCAAATCTCGCCTGTTTAATAGACCAAATGTGGCAAACATGAGCCACTACTCTCCGCCTCGCGCCGGCTCTGCTTGTGCTTGCCCTTATTGGATTTGGAGGGGAAATAGAGCGGAGTCGGGGGAAGTTTCCCATGCTCACAGGAGCGGCAGGCTTCCCAGGCGGGCACCTGGCTCCTGAGGACTCAATATGACATGCCTGGTTTAATAGGTCACCGCACCACGACGTACTTTTCACACGCGATGTTTTCTTATCTCAACTTACTTCAGGAGTGCGTTTAAAGGGATATTAAAACAATGCGGCCGTGTTTCGCCTTAACTGAGTATTGTGATACGTAACTTATTTTGTGTGAATGAAATGGTAACGCCGGCACAGCGAGTCGGGATGGTTCTCTGTCTGCTCCATGCCGCACGGGTTGTAATGACTTGCTTTGTTTTATGTACTCAGGCAGGATGCGGTAGTGCACCGAGGCATATGACTGTGGACTTGGAATAAGCTTAATGGAAACAATACTCCGATGCTCTGAGATTACTATACAGCACATTGTAAACAATTTTGGGATATTAAGTAACATTGTTCGTTGGGCGAGTGACGAAAATTACTAATGAATCCAAGACGCAACCTTGGATATATATGCAAGCTTGAGTTGAAGGTTGTACTTTGTGAATGTTAAGACCCAATATCTTTCAAATTGCCCATTAGAAAGGATTTGAAGTTTCAACAATAAAGTTTCTGTTTATTGAACTCCATTGAGTTTAAGACGTATGTTGTCCATTATTCTGCACTAGTTGGATCCTTACAAACATTTCGCACTTCGTAGTCCATTGTTTTATGAGTTAGAATAAATGCATTTTGGACTGAATTATTAACTTAATTGTTGTATAAGGCAGTAGTTCCGTAGAGATCTCGGACCGAAGGATCGCGGGTTCGAGTCCCGCCTCGGGCATGGTTGTATTTGTGTTCACCTTTTCTCTCCCTATCATCATCATCGTCATCATCATCGTCATGTCATGTCATGTCATGTCATGTCATGTCATGTCATGTCATGTCATGTCATGTCATGTCATGTCATATTCACAGTTACCATATCGTTAAATGCAATAGCGGTCGCTAATGACCTTATGCGCCTACGCGTAGCCCACACGTAGCCATTGCTTATTTCTGAATGTCCTATTATTCTGGGCGTTTCCCACCTCACTCACTCACTGGCGGCTAACACCCTATCCCGGCCTTAATCTACGACGACACACTTGTGTAGTGATTATCCAATAAACTATTTAAACAATTTCTAAGCGCTGCTATTTGATGTGCCAGTTACGAAACCCTGATAATAAGAACCTCGCACGCATTCTCTCCGATGCGGAGCGTGTTTGCACCATACTTGTGTTGCGGGTTGCATGGAAGAATAATATAATAATAATAATAATAATAATAATAATAATAATAATAATAATAATAATAATAATAATGCCTTTATTAATGGCGACGCTGAGGCTCTGGCCATAGGGCCTGCTCTTCCGCCTAACCACTGAATTTACATACATTTAGTGTAGTAACATTTTAAGTGGGGAGGACAAGCCGTACATTTACGGGAGACTACTGTTCTCCTCACTTAATTTGCGACCTTCTATTTTTTCGCCTTAAATATGGTTATTGTAGATCTTGAGGGTTATTTTCTATCCATCAGTGATGGGTTTAGGTAGATCATTTCTTACGAATGGTACAAAGTCGGCTCATTTACTTAGCGTATTGTTTGGAGAAGGAATGTTTTCTATTTGTTTTTTGACCGTTATTAACTTAGAGTGATTTTTTCGAACGTAAAGGGACATCCTGCGTTTACAACTTATAGTATATACGAATGTACAGTGTGATTTAAAGAACGTGGATAAAGTTTTTGAATCACATGTGTGTGTGTTTATTATCGTTAAAATGCAGTTAAGAGTTATACAAGTGACGACATTCTTCGATTTCTGAGCAAGAGTTTGAGAGGATGCTTTAAAGGCTTTCATATTCCGAGGTGGTAGAATGATTTTTTGGATGAACCTCACGCGACTACACTGATAAATCTGTATAGGTTAAAAAATTTTTTTAGTGGGTAGAAATTTGATGGGATTTTGTTTTCTTAAAGTGTTAGTTGGTTCCCCCAACAAGATAATTATGATTGCACGGTAATGAAAATTGCATCAAATTTTTCTTTCGGTCCAACATGTACTCTTCCTCCAGAGTAAAGACGTAGCAACGCAATGTCCAAGAATCTGCTCACTAGTGCCACGTACTTTGGACAGGATACTGCACTATTGATGGGTAGGAAGAGCACTGTGAACGCTAAACGAGCAGCTTTCTCTTGCAGAATAACTGAATTACGGAAACTTAGTTTTGTTAGTCATTATTCGAATTTTGCTAACATCTATCATAAGTCTCATAGTTCACGTTCATGCAATATACTTTTTATGACTAGTCGAATGTCTAACAACTTCAATAGACATATTCGGTGAAGAGTAATTAATATTCCTGATTGTTTTCGAAGGGCTGTCAAGTTGCAACAACTTTACAGCAGACGTACTATACAGCGCACTTATTTTGGTTGTTCAAAGTATTTGATCTGGAAGGGCAAAAAATTTGATTTATGATCAATTCCTTCGCTCATGATTCGTATACCTTTGCTGCTTCTTCTGTTTCTCGTTAATATGAATGTTGTACATTTGATTTAGTAGTCACAGTCACTGTCATGAAATTGAATTGCCACGTCCTATTAAAATAATATCGCAAGGTATTATTGATTTTCAATAATTATAGAATGCATTATAATGAAGTCTAACCTAAAATATACGATATTTTGAGAAGACTAATCTACCCAAAAACGAATAAAAAGATGATTGATACACAGGCGAAATATAAAGAATATACTATTTTCAACGAAACATAGTACTGCGGTACGGTTTAATTTTATGAAATTTCATGAATATGGCATTTTTTTATCATTATACGACTGAATTAGTGAACTTCTTTGCAGGTACATACTAGAACAACAACCCTATCAATCCCGTCTGAGTTTCGTTCACTAGAACTCTGAGCGTGAGAAAGTTACGTGATTGGTCGAAGCCGTTGTCGTTGCTCACCTCGGACACGATCGTCTCATAGCCGTGAGGGCGGTCGTAGGTCCAGCCGGTGTCGCACTCTCTCCGCGGCCAGCTCTCCCGCTCGCCGTCGCTGGGCGGCTCCACGCCGCTCAGGTTGAGGTCGAAGCGCCAGCACGACGCCGCGTCGCCCGGGACGTTGTACCGCCAGCGCTCCTCTGCGGCCGCATCGCACACTTCGGGCAGACGGCACCTGCGCAGGTACGAGCAGTCACAACTAGAGGACGCGCCAAGCTCCATCGCTACGCACCGAACACCTTAAGTTATTATCTGTGTGTGCTGAATTTCGCCTGAAGCAAAGACAAGGGATTAACTACTTCGGGCAACTCGCAGCTCTCCGAGCCACGCATTTTAGCTTTGCCGAAGCCATAAAAATAAGTAGGTACACAATTCTATGTGCAAGTTTTTCATGATATATTCGTGATGTTGAAAAATCATTGAACACTGAGAGACTTTAGCTGTGTCTTTATTTTAACCCGGCAGTTGTTGAGCTTAATTTTCCAACGGGAATGTTCTTCCTGGGTTTGTGAAACCTAGGAAATTCGTTTCATTTCTATAGGAAACCACAGGATTTGTGTATATATATATATATATATATATATATATATATATATATATATATATATATACACTGACTATAAACAAAAGAATGGGTCAAGACTAAAAATAATTGAGATGTATCTTAATGTAAATTATTTAAATGTCGCTTATATTTTTATTATACCTCAGTATTCTGAATTTTGGAAATTACATTTCCTTCATTCGATGGAGGTGCAACCTCCAGGCTGTTTGGACATCAGCTGCCACTGATGGAGACATTCTATATCTTTGCTCAGGCATCCCTTACGTAAATGAGAAATGTGCTCTTATGAAATAAATTTGAACACAAATACTTGCATTTGGAACAAAAATATTTGGTTTTCTTTCAAATTATTTTCACCGGCCTCTTTATATTATTTGTTTAATTACAAAACAAGTAAATGTAACTTTTTGTTTCTAATACCACTGGATTGTTTCTTGATACTGCACAATAAGTTAGCTCATCTCTGTCAAAACTATTTTTTTGACAGAGTTTTGACGTATGATTCGTATGCATTTAAACTTCAAAGCTATTGATTCAATTAAAAGTAACAAATGAATAAGAGCCAGTGGTATTTGTCAAAATGTGGTTTGAGTCTCCAATTTCTAGCGCAACTGTATATAGCACACATTTCAACTAAGTTGACTTTCTCCGTCTTCACTACTGCTTTTTAGTGTTCATTACCGGCGTCATTTTCCTTCCTCATTAAACCATATACACATTCATTATCACTAATTTAAAGCTTAGTCTACTTATTCAATTTTGGACCAAAAATAAGCTCACATTCCAATTGCAACCTCTTTGTGACAATGATTCATTTCCATTAAAATATATATTTTTCAGTTAAATAAAACATAACTGAGAATGTGATAACTTTATTAAAAGAATTGATACGGCTATAACTGGATTTAATAATAAGTACTCACTTGTAACTGTGTTCCGATTTTATTATATCAATGATCACAGCAGGTCTATATTCTGAATGAAGGTCTATATTCTGAAAACCCGTTAGGAAATTGTTATAACGCAATAACAAATAGAAGTAATATAGGAAGGTATATAGAACAACAGTTCTCTATAGCCCAGTTTTCTACATAAGAAACAATGAATTAAACGATCTAGGAATCGGAGACCAGCACGAGCTCCAAATTAGATCTTCAATTATTGTGGTAGTGTACGAGTGTGTCGTGAAAGTGTAATATAAAATGTACTACAAGTAAATTCTAACAATATACGACAAAATTAGTTTTCAGTCAAAAACGGTACTTTTGACTGCATAATTACATAACTTTCTCTATACTAATTAAATTTTTTCAGACCATTGGAACTTAAACGAGAAAGTAAAAATCAACAAAGTGTAAGAATTTCAGGCATTTTTTGGGAAAGTTAACCGAACAATTTCTTGGCTCTCATGGGACCTATCGAGATGGGGTTTTCACCATAATTCAGGCATTGGAGGAAATATCCAAAAGGTCACGAAAACTCGCTGTCTCTTACACTCAGTTTAACCGGAAATTAAACGTAATAACTTTTTCATTAACCATTTACTCGTATAACTCGTATGTCGTCTTCCGCTAAAGAAGAATCACATCCTGGAAAAACTACTCGAATATAATAAAATTTGTACTTGACACTATTTAAAATTCTAATTTTAAAGAAGATATTTCATTACGAAAAAAATTACTATCTTAAAAAATACAGTTGTAACTGACGTTTCCCTTCAAATTATCAAGTTTCAAAAATTTAAAGGTTATACTGAAAATTAGAACTGCACCTCTTTTGGAAGCGCACCTTTTTGTGCTCAAGAAAAATAAATGAAAGCAATTTAAGCTATTTTTGGATTTCAGATGTGTACCAGGAGTTTCATATGAAGTACGCCTCAAAATTGAATGATCCGTTTGAATTTCACGGGGCCTTGAATTTGATCGAATCTTTAGTGTTGTTCACAGAAGGGTGCAAAAAAAAAAAAAACAAACGATATCCACCGCACTGTTACAATAGTTTCTCTCTACTACTTCGTAAGTAGGAGTAAAAATGTGAACACATACGAATGATATATGTGTTTTTACAGATACTTGTTGTGACATCCAGAAGGGGGTTACAATTCACCACGTGCATAACTTATTCAGATAACTGCGTCTTTCTTCCTTAACCTTATCTACCATTTCATGCTGTATTTAGTTATGAACGACTTAGAAAGGAACCGAAACTGTAAATTATATGCATGTGCGTTTTTGGAAAGTATGACTATTATCATACATAGTATATCGTGCATTTGTGAACACAAGGCTGTTGTACAGTATAAGTATTCTGATGTAACGGAAACTTCATAAACATCGAATTAGCTAGATACTTCTCAATTGTGGAATGTAAAAGTCATTTCCTTCTTTAAGCTTTAAAGAATTCCTCAGGATGGTGGCAAGCCATTACTTTACGGTTAACATCTCATGTCCAGCAGATCTTATCTTGTGTGGCGTGTTAAATACATCAAGGGTATGAGACTAACTACCTTCATTTTCGCAATAGTCCAAATGCAATGTTTGAATTTGTCATTAATTTTTCTGTAGATAATTTCGGCAAGGTCAGCTGAAGCAAGCAGGTCGATGGAGAAATCTACATTTTAGTACCTTAGAAGTATGATACAGACTCCTTCGTGGAAACGTTGTATCTAATACTGGCAAGTCTTTGCGTTCATAAATTGCAGAAAATGACCAATGATAGCTATTATTGATTAAATTATGGAAAAATAATATGAATAGTGCGGATGTAATCCTGTTAATGGCTACCGCAGCTAATTTTGTTACGAATGTTTTGTAGATCTGATTGAGATCTTCCAAGGATCTTCCATGGTTTGAGGTGTGTGAATCTATGTAAAATGTTCAAGACTGCAAATATACAGGCTAAAATGCATTGACGACGTGCTATCACTTACACTCGAGAAGAATATAACCACTACTTTAACATAACCTATTGAATATTCGGACTCTGTATTATAAAAGATATTTTCGCCTTGTTATAATTAGCTCAACAAAGGCGAACATAAAATGAAAATAAAATATTAAGTATTTCCTTCAGAGGGATTTTGTTTCTGTTTCAAAACCAATATTTCCAAATTCCAAACTTTTTGATACCTTACAACGATGGTTACTCCATTTTAACGAGTTAAAAGAAAAAAAATCTAAAATCAATGAAAAGCAATCACTAAAAACAATTAAATTAATTCTATTTAGATTGCTTTGCTGTGTTAAATATGCATAAATGAGACACACTATTTTTTATCGCAAAGATGTATAACAAAACAATTATAATGTCATTATCTATATTATGATATATATATATATATATATATATATATATATATATATATATATATATTATCTACATTATACATTATATATATCCCATATTATTTTAATAAAATGGGGTTAAGACCACACGTGCCGCGCTTCACAGCAAAGCCTTGCACTTGCGTCTGTTTGGCGGCGCGTTACCTGTGAGGGGGTACGAGGGTGATGAAGGTCTGGCCGAAGTAGTGGAAGGCGCAGAGCACGTTGACGACGGAGTACAGCGCCACCAGGAGCAGCTGGTAGCGCCCGCGGCCGCCGGCCTGCTCCAGCAGCACGTCGGCGTCGATCGCCACCCTGCGCACGCCAGCGGCGCAAGAGTTGAACATTCGTTTGGGAAAGTTGCAAGTTTTACATCTACTCCTTCTCTAATTTGAAATAAAGATATAGCAGTGTAATAATGTTTTCGTAAGCGAGGGTTGCGTCAGAGATGGTCATATGCCTCTAAATCACTTCTTTACAGGACACCATTTCGAAGATGTGTATCAAACACATTTCTTACCTTCACAATAACGCAGAGAACATTAGCTTTTAGGGTTCATTTGCCGCTGGATATCAGTTAACACCATGAATTACGAGATATCTGTCTGTAATCTACTCTGCCATAAAAATGTAAAGCGTGCGTAAGGAGTCTGCGAAGTGTGGATTATGACTCTCTGTCGCAACCCTAGGGAAGTGTAGTGCGGTGCAGCGGAATGCAAGTTCAGCAGTCGATGTAGTGTTGGCCTGCGTAATATTATGATCCCTATTATTATATTGACGTTTTGTAAAGTTTTTTTGTTAGTCATTTTCACAGAGTTGCACTCAATTCCAGTTAGGATAACAGCACGTTAAGATCACGCAGTCCTTAACAGTGCGCATCCAATGTTACAACAGTTGCATAAATTGCTTCGTTCAACACGTTTGTAATTGTGTTCTAAGTAAAGTTGTAACATCTACTGGGTACAACATTTACATCTACATCTGCAGAATTTTGTGACAGATATTCTACGTCTAGAAAAAGAAGAAAGAAATAATTAGTTTTCCGTTTGTTTCTTGCAATTTTCTCATTTTATTACTTAATATCATAAGACTTTTGCTTCAAAATGAATTGTATTGAGAATGTATTCGAGATTTCAGTGAAATTTTTATTTGACGATCGATGTTTGCTATCACTTTTAAAGTTTTATTTCAACTTCTGCTAGTACACCAAAACGTACGTACGTAAGGTTTCTCAAAAAAAGGGTGTTTTAATAAGTTTAAAAACGCAATAAAGAACATTTCAATTCAGAATGGTATTAACAGCTCAATGATACTAAGATTTTTCGGAATTCAGGTTATAACCGAAAAGTTTAATAGGGTTCCTTTTTTTACAGACGAACTGCTTAATGGATCAAAGGAGATGACAGAAACTGGAGACATTAAACGCAAAAATACCGCTCCAATCGTCACCAAAGAATCTGCTTCAAAACATTTAGTTTAGGCAGAATCATAGGTTTCAACAGACATCCAATTCAACTATGTTTTGAAAATTTGAGATCAGTGTATAAACGTAAAAAAACTAGGACGAATATGGGATATCGCGTATCCCAAACAAAATTCTCCAAGTTATTTATTCTCAAGAAAAATGCTTGTTTGGCAAAGTATAATCAAACGAAAGAGATTAGAAAATTACCTCTGTGAATGGAATGAATCATCTTGGTTTGTTTATACCGCAAGGGACAAAATATTTTCTCAAAAGAGGCTGAAACTGGACTGAACTGTTCAACGACGCTCCGCAAGGGACCCGTTATATCGTACAGTGCGTTCGTAAACTCTACTGGAAGAAAATCGATCAATTGGAAGATTTCAAGCACGTAAATCAAGTGGAGATTATTCGGAAAGTTGCTAAAAACTATCTCAGGCATATCGATCAAATAAACAATCTTGATAATATCAATTAACAGAAAATCTATAAGGAAGTCGATCAAATTGAGAATCTTGCGCAAATTAATCAACACAAAGTTCTCGCGCAAGTCGATCCAATAAACGATCTTTAGCGCAAAAAAAGGAGTTTAAGGAAGTAAAGATAAAGAAGATTTCAAAATCTACATCAATAGTGTCAAGATTTATGCCAATGGATTTAATAAAGATCTAGGGCAAAGGAAGATCTCAAGAAAAAACTATGTAAAGCTGAGGAATCTAATAGAGGCAGTCGACCAAGCGGAGCAGCCCTGCGCAAGTCGATAAAGTGTATCAAGAACAAATTCTCACGAAGAACATTGTAAAAGAAATGTCTCACCACATTAGTATAAAATGATAACCTTCAACACTCTAAATGATCTAGAAGTGTGTAGCATTTATACTGAGGCACTTTTATGTTGGTCTGAAGTCGTAATTTACTAATCTGTGCCACAGAGTACATGAACAACTTTCTTATACTCTTCATTACATAGGATGTGGGAGTGTCTATGCATTTTTATTCTTTTATTGTTTACTAAGAGCGTATGAATTTTAACTACCCGTCATTGAAGTGTTTCACTCAATAAATTGACAGAATGCAATAGTTCTCCAAATCTAAGAATTAAAAAATGGGAAAACAACATACCAATGGACAAAAACAATAAACGAATAACAGATCTACTGAAATACTTTGAGATAGCTCCTAATATCGTTCAGGACCTTCTTTTTCTCTGCAAAATGCAGCAACTTGACGTGGCAAGGACACAATAAGTCCTTGGAAGTCTTCTGCAGAATATAGAGCCGTACTATCTCTATAGACGTCTATAATTGCGAAAGTGGTGCCGGTGCGGTCTTTTGTACGAACTGACCTCTTGATTAGGAACCATGTGTATTTAATGGGATTCAGGTAGAGCAATCTGGGTGGCCAAATAATTCGCTCAAATTGTTCGGAATGTTCTTCAAACCAATCGCGAACAACTGTAGCCCGGTGACAGGTCGCATTGTCATTCATACAAATTTCATCCCTTGCTGCAAATGGTATCCATGTAGCTGAAGCTAACCATTTCCAATTAATGTTCGGTTTGCTTGGACCAGAGGACCGAGTCATTTCCGTGTAAGAACAGTCAGCACCAGTTTGTGCAGTGATTTCTTGAGAACTTAGGCACATGTTTTCGTGAGATTTGCTCCACGCTGAACCCTACCAACAGCTTTTATCTACTGAAATCGGCCACAATGTCTGACCCCACACGGTTTTCCAGTTATTGAAGGTCGAATCGATGTAGTCTCTATCCCAGGAGAGCCGTTGCATGAGAAGTGGTGCTGTTAGCAACGGCACTCGAGTCGGTGTTCCGCTGCCAGAACCGACTGCAACCAATTTTCGCCGCACTGGCCTAGGATACGTTCGTCCTACATCCCACATTGATTTCAGCGGTTATTTCAAACAGGGTTGCTTGTCTGAGCAATGACGGCTGTATGCATACTCTGCTACTCTCAGTCTTTAAGTGAAGGCCGTCGGTCATTGCTTTGTCCATAGTGAGAGGTTATGCCTGAAATTAGGTATTCTCGGCACACTCTTGGCAGTGTGGATAGCGAATTCCCTAATTATTTCCGAAGTGGAATGTCTCGCGCGTCTAACTACAACTACCTTTTCGCGTTTCAAGTATGTTAATTCTCGTCGAGCGGCTAATGACTTCAGGTATCTTTCACATGCATCACTTGACTACAAATAAAAGATCTGCCAATTCACTGCCCTTTTTATACCGTTCGTATGTGGTACTACTGACATCCGTATACTTGTGTTTTGCTATCTTATGACTGCTGTCCTCTCAGTGTATTTTGTCTATATGTTACAATTTTTCTGAAAATAATAATTTTTCTGTTCGGTATGGGCCTCGATTGTCAACAATCAACAATAACTAGTGTCTAAGGTATGAGAATTAAAAATATGATAGTAAAATTTAATGTCTTGATGCAATAAAATTGCAGAGCTAAGCTTACTCCTATCTTCTAGTGAGAAGAATGAATGCAGTCAGGGAAGGAGAGTTCATTGTGGCCTAGTAAGCAGTTTGCTGTAATTATAAATTAGATTCGATTACTTATATACATAATCTAATTTAGAGTAGATCTAAAAATATACGTGATAATTTGGGGCATAAATAGAATATTTAAGCCAGAACTTGCAAATAAGCAAAACAAAGGTACACGATACTATTTATTTTACTTTTACTTATAGATACGTGTAAGTATAGTAATACGTTATGGGGTTACTGGAATGTTATGTAATACTGCAGAAAATCGATTTCGAGATTTGAACGGAAATAAACATTTTGGGGTATCCTGTAACCGAGAGTGTTTTTCAAAACGTACGTGTGTCTGCCGATCTGTTCGTCCGTCTGTGAACAATAGCGTCTAAATCATGCGTAGGACTTTTTTCCAAATTGAAGAAACTCCTTACCATCTGACTTGAGTCGAAGCTTTGAGATTTTGAAAATCATTCTTTAAAATTTGGGAGTTATTCACATGTGTACATGTTTACATAAAGATTCTGAAAATTTTCAAAGTTTTCTCGAAATTCGCTCCAAATTTTTTTCTTAAAATTTTTTGTAAGAATGTAGTAAAATACACTTATAAAGGTGGCATATGTCCAATTTTCACGGTTAACCCTGAAAATTTCAAAAGTTTGAATGTTTCCGGTGTCTTCCTACAACTAATAAAATTAAAGATAGAAATTTCCCCCTGAAATGACATTTGTTGTCCATAATTTGGTCTTTTATTAAGGTCATGTACATTTAAAAAAAATACAAAATCAAGATTTTCTCATAGACTGCTCCAAATTTTTCTCTAAACCTTTGATAGGGATAGTGCTAAATGAACTCTATAGGATTACATAAACGTATTTTGCTCTATTCTTTGTTTTTTTCCATAATTACAAAAAAACTTTTTTGTAATGACTTGTCTGTCACGTAATGTTTTTTGACTTGTCTGTCACGTATTTAATATTTAGATTAGCGACGATTTATTCTCATTATTGTATTTAGGAGATCATATTCTTTAAATAATGTCGTATAAAGTTTTTCGAAATCTCAACCGTTTTCTGTTCCACATTTTCCGCAAATTCCGCATTTTCAGAAACGTTAAAATACTATTTTCTCAAAAACAGCTCCAAATTGTTTCTTCAAACGTTTCAAACGGCTAGTGCTCATTGCACTCTTTAATATGACGTTAAGTTCATTTCGGGGTAATTTTCCCCAACATTACACAAATGTAAGCTCTTTCACTCCGTTAGTATGTTCATTTCTAGCAATTTGTAAATACTATTGTATTTGAGAGTTAAAGTACTTTAAATGAGTTCAAATGAAGTGTTTCAATAACTCAAAACTTTTCTGTGAAAAAATAACTTTAAAAGTCGAATTTACTGTAGGGCTTTAACGCTATTTTTTTAAGAACGGCTCCAAATTTTTTAAAGAAACGTGCCTTTCAGAACCAGATTTTATTGTTATTTGATAATTGTAAAATAATATTTCCGTTTTGCTATCAGGAAATCGAAAAAAAGAAAATGTCACAAAAAGTGCTTTGGGTGGCGATAAATGGCAGCTGACATGAGTGTGGCAAGTTCAAATAGCTAGCCGAGGCTAAAGGAAAACTGATACGGGAAAGTCTGTGCTATTCTGCCGCATCACTAGTTACCATATTTTTTGTGGTAAACTATTTTCCAAGGATAGAAAACACAGAACGTCTGTGCGTTTCATCGTCACAGAACGATTTAGCAACACTGCTATGCACTAAAGAAATTATTTTGGATTTCAATAAAATTAAAAGAGTCTTATCAACATATCAACGTACACATGCGTTTATTTACTACAGAAAAATAAAACAACATTTCATTATATTTTTCAAAATAATCCATATTTTCAGAGATAAGATTTCGCATTATGGACTGCAACAAATCGTGTTTTGCATGAAAAAAAATAATACAAAGATGTTGATGACCTGGAGAAGTCTATCGCTAGCAAATACATGGTGTTTTGAGAGTTCAGTCCGAAAAAACAAGCTATAATAGTGCTTGAAAACGGAAATTTTAACAATTGCGTCTGAATGTACCGTATGTGATAGTTTGCTCTTTGTCTGCTCTAAAGGTATTGGGAATGAAATATATATTTGATATTGTGTTAGTGAAACCTTTATAAATCAGTAACAATTTATTTTGGGCCATATTGCAACACAATATTTACCTATTAATAATTGAAATACTTAAGCTAATATTAAAATTATGTTATATACCAAAATTGCATTTTATGAATCGGTAGATTCAACAAATCTTTTATATAATTATCGGTTATCATGAAAAAAAAGCAACCTCCGAGTCAATGTAGATACAGTCTTGACATGCACGCGCGCGCGCGCGTTTGTGTGTGCAATGGGATAAGGCCAAAGAAGAGGAAGGAAAGATATCGCGCTATCTGTGGCCTGTTTTAAGGTATTACTCCTGCATTCGTCTGGTGTTGGTCGGGGAAACCACAGAAATTACGGATTAGATGGCCGCTTGGATTCTCCTCTTAACAGCCACTGAATTCCACCTAGCCGTCTAGTAAGGATCCATTTTTCGTCATAGTCAGGACTAGAATAGGACCTCTCAATGAGAGACGCTGCAGTAGTACTAGCTATTTCTCTCAGCTATAGCTCTATTGTTCGCACGAATTCGACTGTACAATTTTTCGTTGGTCACTCGTAACTTCAGTGCAGAGTTCTTGAACATTTAACTATGCGAAAAGAGCTCTATTATTTACAGAATCGCAAGCATACAAATATCACTTATCGTTGCTTTTTCGGTTGAAGCACAAAAAGGGTTTTTATGGAATATTAAGTCTATTTTTCTCCGTTTTCTTAAAATGTGGCTTACACCACAATTGGGATGACCCCTTCAATTGTAAATTTTTAAATTTTCCTAACCTAAGTATACAAAGGAATTCAAAACCGTTCTAAACTCAACAATTACATCCCTAAATATTTTTCGCAGGAACAGAAGACTTTTGGACAGCACGACGGAATGGAACATCTATTTGTTTCTCCGCTGCTTTTTAGAACTTGGGTACCTGCAAGTGCTGATGATCCAAATAGTCGAATGCCTATTATTCCACGGTATTACGATTCGAAGGTCGTGTATGAAGAAGAGGTGTATGCAATGGTAAGTACTAGAGGAGCACTTTTGATGTAGAACAATATCTTGAAAATTGGTCTGTAGGTAGAGATGTAGTTGATAACGTTATATGTAACAAAAACATTTCCCTACGAGCCTCACTAATTTATTTAAATCAGTACTGTCAGCAGACCTTTCTGTGGTATTGTATTGTGAGGAACAGTGACTGTTTGATCACGCATGCATCGTAAGCCGCGATGACGCAATTATTGACCTTGTGGTGAGTTTGAGATGCGTAGCTCGGCAGTGGGATTGTTGGCCTGAGAAGTAGTCTTCTGGTTTCAAATAACTACTTCAACAAAAATATGTATTTGCATTAAACAGAAATCGATGCTGATCAACCGATTCAATGCTTAATAGTGGGAACTATATTGCAGGAAGTTTATGTTTGATCAACGTGTGCTTCTTTGCTAGCCTGCAATTATAACGTAGGGTCCAGAAATGGAGTTAACGTTCTGTGTAACAAAACAAATCTAAATATTCGGATTCTGGTTTGAAATGTTTTACATTTCCCTCATTAGGGAGCTGACGATTACAACCTTTACGGAAAACACGCAAGAAGTTTATAAGTTTTCAACCAAACAACCCAAAACCCAAATTTGATATTGTTTGGCAGAGGAACGAAACCCGCTTTGACCGCGTATGTCTCATTTGTGGGGATGGTACCGATTTTACGCGAAGCATGCCGCAATCGGAGCTACATTTAGTATCGTGCACGGTGTAACCGAAGCAATTTGAGCGAGCTTTAAAAACAGACCGGCCCGCAGACTCTTTCACTGATAATCGCTGCCTTTCCTCTGGCACGACCGCTGCGCTGACTCATCGGCTCGGACGAAGAATACTGAGCCCTGTTGTGCGGATGAAGAATGAATCGTTATACTGAGTCTTGTTGTTCGTCTCTGTCAGCTGGCCAAGGTGTATTCATCTTCATTTCGTATTTCCCATCCTTCTTTCTTCAATAGCTCCTCACTGGATAAAGCCGATCGACCCCAAATACCGATTAAATAATATCAATAGAAAAAAACAAGTGGAAATCCGTAAAAGGTGTATAAATGTGAAGAAGCGGCAACCACATTCAAACGGCGGTCTGGACCCTAACATTGATAACGAAATAAGTCTGACAACATTTCTTTTAAAAGCCGCATTTGGGGGAGGGGAGTGAAGAATTCATGGTGTTAAACCTGTGTCGCCTATTAGAGGCACTACTTAGCCTTCCACGTGTTGATTCTAGTGCAGGTTTCCAGGAAGTTTACAGAGCTGGTTAGATATTACAAAAATCACCCAAGCTCCATCTATTGGCAATCAAAGTAAACCGGAGAACCTTAAGAAAACACCAGAGTTCGTTCTAATCGTGAAACATAATACGCGCTATCTTGCGCCCAAGAAAGAAAGCAAACCCGAGCGAGATTGTATACACGCGTGCTTTGCAGACGGCGCACAGATCCTGGAGCACGTACAGGCATGTGCATAATGAATGGGTTAGGTATAAGCACTAGCACGGCATAATACATCCACTAGCTATTGCTATAAGATCTAAACATAATATCCAAATTGCTATAACATCATTTCAGGATGTAACGTTTAATGTTCCTGAATAAATGTAAGATGTATATGTTCTTACGCCATTTCTGCATTTTAGAGCCCAAACACGCTCTTCAACTCGCACAAGTCTGTGGTTGCGTTCCCAATAAAGCCTACTTGAATCTATTCTTGATATTCGGGCTTACAACCCAGCACATCACTGCCCGTTCGAAATTGTACAGTTTAATGTTACGTTTCTGTATTAATTATTAACAGTACATTTTTGAAAAGAATACAATGACGTCCCGTTACTACATGATCTGCCATCCGAGTGTAAAAAACCGCGACTGGAACCCGTGATATCGATCTCGTTTTCGTCTCTAGATCTTTGTCGCATGAAAAGCGAGACGAGTCTATAACGCGTCTATGGATAGTCTTTATAAGTAAGTGTAGGTGTAATTTACATTGAATATAAAAGAGTCGCCGTTGAAAACAATAGACTGTTTCTTGGGGTTTTTATCATAAGTATTAATAGATGGCCTCTCTAATACCTAATCATTATGCAAATTAATAGTTATCCATGTTGTTTATGTTTTTAATTAGTACATGAATAAAGAATACTGCATTTTGCTTCAGCATTGGCATACCTCAAGCTTTCCTTCGAGGGCAATTTTCTTAATAATTTACCCCTGGTGGAAGGCAGTGTATCATTCTTTGGTGTTTGGAAAGTTATGTTCTGACGCAAAGAGAAGGTTATCTTCTGACGCGTACACACGTTTTATTTCTATACATACGAGCAATAGACATTTTCAAGATAACAATTTATATTCAAATAATTGATCAGATGAAAAAATAGGTGCAATTGCAAAATATCCATTAACTTGAGTTGGGCCAAACACACCTCTGACAATCGATTTCTAGGTCAACATGAAAGATTAACGTACGTCAATATTAATTTTATCTCTAATTGTTTATACTGCTGTTATGGTACATTTATAATCAGAATCGCTATCGCTAAAACTACTGTAAAGTGATTTAGATGTAATGCTCTTGCAGTGATACACCTCGCATTAGAACAAAACATGCAATTATACCTCAAATTTTGAATTAACTCTTCGTCGAAACATCTAACGATCTCCAAAAAAAAACACTATCTATTCCTTCGAAGATTCAGAGAGTATTAATAAATCTAATATTGAAAAGAATTGTTTTTTAGCAATATTTTAGAATTGTTTGGTGCTGGAACGTGGACACAAAAAATATATCACCGTCTTTTGACATTACTCATTTGTTTCCATTGTTCTCACTGATCTGTTAAATTGCGAACGGACATTGACTGTTAAGAGACTTTAAGTTTCTCTGGTTGCGTTATGTCAATACAGCTGTACTACATTATTAAGAAAACATTTTAATTTTGCTAATATTATATTAACAAACAAAAGACCTGCACTCGAGCAATTGTATTACACACAATATCAAATAGCCAATTCAGTTTTACAGAAAATTGTGTATTCTACAGGTGACCTGCAGACATCTGCAGAGTGAACCTACAGAAGAGCTAAATTTCTCAAATCAATATTGGTAGGTTCCAAGCACCGTGTGTTATCTAAATTGGTATATGAATGAAAAAATATACATTTGTCTTTGGAGATGACGTAGCTAAAATGTCCTTCATGAAGGGGTTTCTTATTAATTTTCCCCTGAAACATCCAAGCTATCTTATGCACACCGGGGAGATATTCCTATAGGGCATTAGCACATTTAGGTAATTTTTTGTCGATAGAATTTCGTAACTCGTTCAAAGGTGTCAACTTTTCTTACCGTTTTATACATAGAGAATATTATTTTTAGAAATATTGAATGATAAATATGAGTTTTTGTGGTCTTACAATAACACATTTTCATAAAATAAGAACCGGAAAGAAAACTGATACTCTATATTTTCTTTTGAAATTATTTTAAAATGTGAGTAATGAGAGAAGATAAATTGTAAATATAAATTAAAGAATATCATTCTTAGCGAATTTGTAAACAGCGGAAAAGCAAAACATGAGTTACGTTGACTTTGAACACAGGTGGGGTAATTGTGTGATATTTGGTGACATACGCATGAATACAACGTACATGACATGAGGCATATATAATTATTACCAATGAGTTACTGTAGAGAGACGAAATCAACCAATGAGATAAGTATATCAAAATAGGAGCTTATATTTTTTAATGTTATACTAGACCATCAGTACTTAATGTTTTATTTGTTGTTTGTTGAAGTTCATTTAGAGGAGACGTTGGAAATCCATCTGAATATTTCTAACATGACCTAAACTTTATGTAGTTGTCGATTTTTGAATTCACAATTAACGAAAGTAGTGGTTGAACATTTAGTCAAAGTGTATGTTTATGATGAATTTCAAAACGATGCCATGACATTAATTCATATATTCTCTGCATTAATTTCCTAGTATATGTCATTGTATTTTCATATCTTTTTTAAGTATTTCCCACTTACCTCGTTGTTAAGGGTAATTACACCATTTGGTCAATTTCAATTGATTTGATCAATTGGTGTTAGTAAAGAAACATTGATATTTACTTCCCGGAAACATTATATTAAAGTTCTCATTCATCTATTCTTTTGCCTCTTTGATAAAGTGAAACTAGAAGAAAATACAGATACATCTGTTTACTACCATTCTGACGTATTCTCTGGGAAGTTTTCAATAGTTTTAAGTTACAATTCTTGACTCGGGTAACCACAAGCGGAATGCTATTTCCTGTTATCAATTTATGGTCTCCTTTCTCATGAGTGACCGAGAAGAACACTTCTTCATGATTTTTATTAATTATTTAGCCAATGTTTTGATTCTCTTTATTATGACAGTAGATAATAAATTTACAATTAACATTGTCTAGTAATCGTATTTAATGTAGAAGTTAATTTTGGTGACAAAACAATTAAAACAATAATTATCATATCACTAAAAATACGGAAAAGTGTAGTTACAAATGAATGAGAAACTAAGAAGGATAGCACAGATGTTACCTTAAAATTGAATCTCTTACTAAGAACACAAGGCATTTCTTCATTGATCACATTATCAGGAATATATGTTTTGAATACAAAAATAATTTTTTAAAAGTTAAAGTGAAGAGTTTTTGAGCGTGATATTTTATTTTCCACTCATTTTTGTGAGAATCTTGGTTTGATTACAAAGTACAGCGAGGTGCAGTGGCAATGGAATAGAGGTAGGGGGTCAATTGCCTGAGCGATTCTCTGAACCGTATCACCCAAAATGTATTCATTTTCTCCTTCGTTTTCTCTAACTCTCAATGCATGTGGTTTACGTCACGTTTTTATAGTTACATGAATATTTTTGTAAATCAAGTAATTAATATGTCCCTTTTAAACTTACTATTTCTTTTTAAAAAACACATCAGGTTTTATCTTTGTTTTACAGTCAAAAGTATGAATTAAGTATTTCGTTTCATTTATTCCTGAACTATGCCATGGTCTTCAGTCCCGGTGATAGTATTAACGGAATATAATTGATGAGGGAGGATGTGGGGTACTATGGTTACAATTTTTCAAGGCTTACACCCCTCACAGACTGATAGATTTAATTTCAAAAGATGATAAAATTTTGGTTTTTAGTAATTCTTGATAGTTTTACGTTATTTGCGTTCGGTAAACTTGGGTGGAAATATAACGTATAAAATACAAATTTAGCGGCCATATAAAGCAGTTCTATTAGTAATTTCTTAGGTTAATATTTACTTTGTTTTTTCAAGAAGAGTATTAATTTAACATATTATTGTTCATTTATAAATAGAATGATTTGAATCAACATACAAGAAATAATTAGTTTGATAAAAATCTTCAGAGTTCAGCAGATTCTTGCAGGAAACTGGAAACTATAATTGCATATGCCAACGTTTCAAATAAACATGGAAGGTTAAACAATTGACAGAACATCATGATTCATTTCTTTTCACTCCGTCTCCGTTTTTCAGTTTCATTTTCCCTCTCGTCAGCATTTTCGTATTTGATTCCTGTCAGAACGAGATAAGGCTCCACTGTACTATGCCTGAAAGACGTTCCGATATTCGAAAAATATTGTATAAGGGACGATGGGAAATTTATTAGAGGAAATAAAACTCTCATATTTCACTTTTCTCGTATTTAAACAAAAATAGACACAAAATAATATATATCCCCACAATAATAAAACTCCACCCATTTAAAATAATTGTTTTAAAAGTGAAAATTGCTTCGTGGTAGAACTCAACTTCGGACAGCCTCTGTGCGTTACAGAATTTTTGGTCTGGTTACTCTCTCACACTACCTTTCTAATATTGAATAATAAAAAATTATTTTAAGGATCAAAAATATCATTTAGCAGAATATTGATTCCGAAACGTAATTTGGATCCCACGTGTCCCCTATCTATCCCACCTGTCCATCGCATGTTCCCCACAAGCTCTTCACCTCTCCTTACACTACCCAACCGGTTCCCCGTCATTTACCCGCTGGATCTCCCATGTCCCAAACTGATCTTAATACTCTTGACCCCAGAAAACTCCCCTACCCCCTGAAAACGTGTGTTACTTTTGGGATGCCACAACTTGGTTTCAAGGGCCAAATGAACACTTTTCGAATTACGCGCGATTATGTTGCGTGTTACAGTTATCTGTTTCATGTCATATTCTACAAACTCCAACATTCTCCGCAGGACTGGGGAGTAATACCCTATCTTACAATTTCATATTTACTGGGTTTTGTGTCGATATTTCCTATAACCTGTCAGGCATCTATCCTTAGAGTATTGTAGTATACAGAGAGGATCATATTTTTTTTCATTTTAGGAACAGATAAATTATACTTTATCTTGAACTCATTATAAGTTAATAACTTTGGTAAAATACAATTTGTTTGATAATACAATGTCACATAAAATTTGACCAAGTATGACAAATCATAACATGAATGGGTGAAAACCAGAACAATATTACTGACATTTTATAAATTCTGAGAAAACGTGTTTATTTTAGTCTGTATGTCAGAGGTAATGCATTTTTGTGTTTTTTAATGAACAATTGAAATGCCGCGGTTTTAACACTGAAACAATATCTCTACAGTGATATTGACTTTAATAAAAATATTTCACACAATTTATAAAATGTCACTTACACCGTTCTGGTTTTCACACATTCATATACAAGACAACAACATAGTGGTAAACAAAAGCGCCAAAGGCTTGAAACAAAGAAATGTACCACCAGTAGTGGATGAATGAAAAACATTAAAAATTGTACAGCAAAGTTCGAAAAAATCCCATTCAACATAAATATTATATGATTGATTATTAACAAATATTTCATAAAGAGTGTAATAAACGCAGACCTCTGAAAAAAATGTCTGCATTTTTGTAAAACTAACTGTAGTACACTTAGCAAATCAGACTCTTCTTACAATATCAAATAAATATCTAAAACATTTTTTACTATCTCGTAAAAATATCAAAACACATCCAAATAAATCAAATGTGGGAACATTGTTGATCACATAATTGAAAAAGTTTGAAAAAAAAGTTTTATAATTTTATTAAAATAAGCTTCACTCTATTATGTGTTTTCAATAATGTTTGCATTAGTCTAAGAGAATGCTGTTCAGCCATTTCAATATACACAGGTGTTTAACTGTTGCAAATTTGTTTTGAAATGCATCAATGTACAGTGGTGGTTACAACTTCAATAATCTTGCATAACGAAGTTCTCATAGTTGCATATTTACTTCGAATGCTTGCTCCAACACATGCAATGAAGAACAGATGACTACATCACAGTGAAAACAGTGACGTAACTGTTTGACATAACATACACATTCTTTTTAGAGTCCATGTGCCGCAAGGAAATAGCTTTTCAAGCGTTACATTTTTTCATACCTTCTGCCGTGTTTCTGAAAGTCAAAATTGCGCATTGATTAAAAACAAGTCATTCATGGCTCGCGAAGCACTTACCTATCAGTTATTTCATATTCCATAATGTTGGAATGTTGTCGTGGATCCAATCTCCCAAACAGCTACGTATATTTTGCTTTGGCAAGTACGAGCATTATGCCATCGCCGACCAACTCGGTCGATTTGTACTTTATTTGCGGTCGGATGCGGCCAATAAATCTCCGCGACCACTGCAGCGTTAATCTTGATGCACACAGCGCATCGCAAGCTCAGACTGCACTTATCAGTTCCCCCACGTGACCACCGTATCAACCGCGATAATGTAAGATAGCGAAGACTCTTTCACCTCGCGAAGGCGAACATGGCGACCGGAGGCTGCGAGAAGGCGCAGACGCGGGTTCATCGTTCACTACTGAAGCCATCGAGGAGCCAGGGCCGAGCGCGCCCAACGCCCTTCCGCCGTGCGCCGCGACGGGAAGGCGACTGGCGTGCAGCGCCTGCGCAGGCGATGCCTCGCGCCTCACATTACGGCGCGAAGATTCCGACGAGCAACTTGAACCTCTGACGTCATCATTACGCGGTTCGACTGGCATTCCTCGGAAGACGCTAAATCCAATTCGAAGGATAGCTTGCTTGGAGCAGAATTTCCGTTGATTTTTTCTAAAAATCATTAAATTGCAAGTAATATTTTAATTGTTACTGGAGTGAAACCAACCTCTTTCAGTACACGCCGAACGTTCTAAGTAAAATTTACGAGAGTTTTTAGGTCCGTGTTTTGATTTCATTCGAAGGAGAATAATAAAGTCGCCACCAAATATATTTTTCATTGTGATTTTATTATCACATATCTTTTGAGATATCATTTCATTCTTCAGAGTTAAGTTTATGATGTTAGTAGACAATGATAAACAAGCAGTCAGTTTTAACATCTCTAACTAAAAATGGATTTTCGCAAATTTTCAACTGCTGACGATTTTTCAATGTGAGCACATTTTATTCCTTCACTTAAAGAAACTTGCTATGAAAATAAATGTGAATTGTATCCCATTTTTCAAAAATATTATTCAAGGGCATCACATAAATATCTAACGTTTGAAATGGGTACATTAACAAACATTTTGTAATCTGATGAGTTTTTAAAAAAAGTGAATTCTTTCATATTATCATATTGACATGTTTAAGTTTGATAGATATGACATTTAATTGAAAGAAAATTAAATTAGTTTAACAAGTGGATTTTGTTCCTTTTTCTTTAATACATTTTTGAGAAAAATGTAAACAGTAGATCGATAGTAAAAGAAATAATGTATTTCTTTCAAAAAGAATAACACTATTTTAATTCAAATAATAAAGAAAATTATGTATTTACTCTGAATTTATTTTCAAACATCCTAAAAACTTTCAAAGAGTGTTAGTATAAACTTGAAACATGCTGAAACAACGTGTTATTCTATCAATTGGAAGTGCATTTTATATTTCATAGATTTTGCCTCAAATTTTAATTTTCTCTATTAGAGCTTTCGACTACGATGGGGATTCCCAATGATATCACGGTGGAGAAAACGGTATAATACCCGAGTGAAATCTGAAGAACCCTACTAAGCCTTCTCTTGGTCAACCATTCCATGAATAGTGGATAACACCACCCGCTGGACCAGACTCGTGATAACATTTGTTGTGACTGTGCGCCATTATATTAACGAGTCTTTAAATAGCTCCAGGCTACTCCGTGAATCAGACTCTAATTCTTCAGCATATATATCATCCAACATTCATTTCCTTCTTTAGAAGTAATGTTAGCATCTAAATGTAATGGCGCTTGTTATTGAATGACATTTTAACTTTTTCTCGGCCGTACGTAGTGTAGAGGAAAAGTATTAGATTTGATCTAAAAGGACGATATTTTGACATTTAAAATATTTTTGTAGGTCTATGAGATGCATGTGGGTAATTCATATCTTGGGTACATTAGAGCTTAATTAGAAAGAACCAAATTAGAGCTTTGAAGCTCTAACTTTATACATATGTCAGGACCAATATCTGTTAGACGAGTTTTTAAGATATTTGAGATTGGTGGGAATAGGGAGGAGATACACACAGATTTGTATCAAAAACAAATAAGAATCGTAATAATTGTCGCCGTAGCCTAAAGTCTGAGAGCTGAACAATAGTATTAGATGTAAAGTCGGTCCTCATGTTGTCCGCACCACTCCCATCCTCTTGTCTTTAAGACTCGCTTGGCTACAATAGGTGAATGGAAAAGGGTCAGTTATGTAACTGAAGGACCCTGAAAACAGGTTTTACCCCCCAATCTCGATCTGGAATTTTTTAAAAGAATCCGACTATTTATTTAAACTCCTTACAGTAGTGAAAACGTAATAACAGAAAACAATTGCTAATATATAAATACTGCTGTGCTTCCAAAAGTATATCTGAGAAGATTGGGAGATACATTGAAATGAGCAAAAAGAAATTACTGTAAAACAGAATTCTTCCTCTGAGCATGGCTGAAATTGTATGACCTCATGACACATTTTAGATTTATAGTTCTTTCCAGACGACACAATAACCCAAAGTCGATTGAGCATAATATCGATAACGCGTGAAATGCGCAGCGTATTTCCTTGAACTCTTATTACTTGTTGGATGGTTCCTCAATACACTTGGATGAATCAAACCACAAAAATCTTTACAAAATGTTTCCATTTTTCGATCATAAGAGTGGATAGATTTAGTTACAAGAGCGGAAATGGGATAGAAGGGAATTAGAAGCGTTTTAATATTATTACGTTACATTACGTATGCTTATTATACTACGTAATATTGTTTATAGAGTTGTTTTATTGAGGATTATATATGAATGAAGTTTTGATGTCTATACTGAAAGATGAAGATGAGTTACCGTACTATAAAAGATGAGATTGATGTGAGCACGGTAACAATTTACTTGCGGAATCTGATTCTTGCAAAATATGTGGCGTCTGTGTAGAAAATACACTGGCATTTGTGGACATTTCAACACCAAGAAACATACTATTGCAATGAAATTTATTCCACAGATTAAGAATATCACAATATATAAATGATTATAATTGCAGAACTGTACCTACATTTTGACCTTGACTATTTCGTACGGTGTGAAGCCACCATGCGCTGCCATCAGATCCTCTAGACGTCGTGGCATGGATTCAAAAATATCTTGAGCATGATGTTGGGGAACAGACTGACACGCAGTTTCTATTAGTGATCACAAAGAATGGACAGTGGCTGTAGAAGGACCAGAACGAACAAATTGCCGACCAATCATATCCCAGGCACGTGCGATGGGCGACATGTTAGGTGAACGTGGAGGACAAGGAAGCAGTGATACCCGTCGTTCTTCGCAGAGAGCTTACACATTCCTCGCCACATGCGGTCGGCTATTGTCCTACTAAAATATGGAATGCGGAGCTGCTTGCAGAAGGGACAGTACTTCGATCATCATGGTACGTCGAACTCGTAGGCCATCGCTGTAACACACATTGAAGCGGGACTCGTCCGAAAACACCAGTGAACATGTTCACGTGATCATTGCTACCTGAGGCGTTGATGGTTTCTGGTCAATGGAATCCGACGCAGTGGTGTGCGTGCCACACATCCGATCCTGAGCAGACGACATGAACCGTCGACACAGACATGACCAAACCTGTTGAAGTGCTCCAAAGTCGAGTCAACACTATGGTCGACGCTGTTAGTTACGGCCATGCGGACAAGATGGTGATCATCCCGCACTGTGGTCACATTGTGTGGTCCAGACCCCGCTCGTCGCTGTGTGAGACCCTCATCCACAGGTTCCATACCCACATCCATGTCATAGCAACGCGCCTCGTTCGAGTCGCAATATTACATACATTTCGATAATGCTGTCGTAATATACATACATACACACATTTATTAGAACTGCAATTGGGTATGACCCGGTGGCAGTTAATTACAATTAATTGCAAAAATTACAACACTTTACATTAATAATAATGATACTAAGAATGATAATATGAAGAATAAATAATAATAATAATAATGAATATACTAATAACTTAAATCCAATAATAATAACCGTTCAATACGTATCAAGACTGAAAGCAGCATTGAAAGTGGCTATGATCAGCGTCACCCGCACTTAACACTCAACTTCACTACACTACAACGTTTTATGCTTTGATAACCACTGACCAGCACTTCACAGCACTTCACCGCACAATTATTCACAGCACATACTCATCATTATATTGTAGCGGGTACAGAATTATTCAGATAAATTCTTATTGAGGAAAGCAGACCTAAGGAATTTTTGTACTGAAGAAAATAAACATACGGCGTCACGCGCGCCAGCTTTCTTGCAACGCCACGGTCCCTGACCCATTTCGAAGGTTTATGGCACGCCACCCAACAACCGAACAAAAGGGGTCAAACTGAAAAGCGCCAGCGAAAGCCCCACAGCTAGAATACTTCCGAATCGCCTGTCCATCGTAATCGGGGAACCCAAAGCAATAATTCAGTAGCTGGGAAGCACCTCAGAGACATGACCCACTTTCGAGAACAGTGAACGGAAAAATTCTATACTTCCCGGAGCCCTATTGGCCAAATTTAGTGTACAACGACCATCACCTTTAGCAAATAGCGAAGCGATCATTTTAGGGAGCATGAACATATGAGGAGAAAGGGTGGGGAGAAAGAGTTAACCTCGTACGTGGAGCAGAAACAAAGTGACATTAGGACAGAGAGACTTCTCTGGGGTGGAGCCGGTCGCGGAGAGAGAGGTGGTGCACCTCTAGGACTGGCATTCACTTGAAGTTATTAGAGAGGAAGTGCAAAGGCACTTACGGGGGATAGGCGAATCTTTTGCCACTGCTTATCAGCTAACAAAATTCACATTGAAATTTGTTCGAGAGGAACCGCAGACACTTCGAGAGGACAATCTCTGGGTGCTCCGCACTTGTATCGGGGTCAATACACCCCGGACATTTACGACTACGCCGAAGCAAGCTCCAGACGCCCTTCGCTGATGCCACGGACGCGCAAACCGCCGCCAGCCCACCCCTTCTGAGGCGTGCCCCGGCCCCCGCGCATTCTATGAAGGACATCCCACGCCGCGCCCACAGTCACCTCGCGCTCGCAAGGGCCTACTGAGCACATTTGTCACGGAGGGTTTCCAGGCACGTAATCAGGGCCAATAAGCCCTTAGCGACTATTGTTAAAGCGTGCGCGCGCTGAGGCACAGAAAGGTCCTCAGGGACAAATTTGTAATTGTAGCTTATGATAATTTTTGTACCACTCTTCTTTAGTTGTAAGTCTTCTTAATTTCTAATCTTTATTTATTTTACTCACCATTCTCTTTTCATCAATGTAACTTCCCTGTACAGCCCTGTCCAGGAATAAAATTGTCTTTTTAAGTAACCGAATTTTGTTTTGAATGCCCATGCATGCTTTCGCTTACATGCCTTCCATCACTGAATCATATGAGTAAGAGTAGGACCGACTGAGCTAGAACGGGCGCTAACCCGC